GACTCTTTTTGTTGTTGTTGAAAGAGCAGGATGGAGATCCAGGTGCCTACAGAGAGATCCGAATACTCAGGTGTGGTGACAGAAAATTTTTTCAACTACTTATCTTCTCTCTGAGGTTGGAGGCAAGGTTCAGAGAATGAGGAGTGGGGAGTCTTGGGTAGCAGGTTATAGGAAGGTGGACAAGATTGGAAGTGACTGCTACTGTTGGAGAGGGGGAGAGGGGCTGCATGTTTAGAAGGAACATGGCTGGGAGTAGGGCCCAGCTGTGGCTGCAGGCTCTGTTCAGTTGTATGACTGTACCTGGAAGAGGTGTGGCGGTGGAATCATCCTTGGTTATACAAGAATGGTGGGCTGGAGGGGTAAGGGGCTGAGGACATTGGTGAGAGGAGATAGGCATCTTGTATCATGGCATCTACCCAATAAAAAGAGTGAAACCAGCCCTGGCCAGTGTGGGTCTTTTGGGTGGAGCATCATCTCATACACTGAAAGATTGCAGGTTCAATTCCTAATCAGGGCACATACCCAGGTTTTGGGTTCTATCCCTGGTGGGAGGTAAATGGAGGCAGCCAGTAGATGTTTCTTGTCTACATCCATGTTTCTCTCTGTCCCTCTCTCTTCCTCTCTCTCTCTCTTAAAAAAATCAGTAGAAACATATCCTTGGATTTAAAAAGAAGAAGAGTGAAACCCGGAGGGAATGACCGTTGTGACAAAATACAGGGCCCAGACAGAGGTGTCAGTGAGACTGGAGCAGGACAGAGGCCGTGGCTTGAGTCTGGCTTGGATGTAAGACACAGAGTACTTCTGGGTGATGAAAAGGTCTGGCGAGCAGGGTCAGGGTCAGGGATTTGAGAAGCCAGGAGGCTGGGTGGGTGGTCCACATCTTCCTGGGACCCAGTGGGGAAGAGATGGGGCTCCCCATCCCAGCAAGGGGGCAAAGACCCAGGTTGTATACGTGCATGCTTAGGATGGAGAAGCGTGGGTGTGCGTTGTTCTGGTAGCCTGGGGATTCCCAGGGAACTGGGTTTGCCTCATCCATAGTTCTGTCCAGGGGCCCTGCTGACATTGCAATGAACCCTACCCACACTGCAGGGCCGTGAAGTGGGCTCCCCAGGGAGAGAGAGGCCAAGGGGCTCTTCCTTTTATGAGGCTCATTGGGTATCTTCATTGCTGTACTTGAGAACT